CATCAACATCATCACAGCACATCCCATCGTCCACCATCTTGCCATCACATTAACGTCATCAATGACATCATCCAACATCATCATCACATTACATAACTGCAACATAATGACATTAACGTTATTACATCATCACCACCACATCACAAGGAACCACCATGCCATTCCACCATCTTGCCAGCAAATTCTTTTAAAATGTCTCTTGACAAACGCCAATGGACGAAGTGACCAACCAGCTGGTTTGCAGATTGAAACATTTTCATTGAGTGTCTTCTTGGAAAATGAAACATTGAGAAACAAATTTGTTGTTGTCGTTGTTTTGTGGATTTTTATTGTTGCAAGAGATACAATTGAAAAGAAAACAAAATAATACACGTCACCATGTTGTTGTTGTTGATGATGTTGTTGTTGTTATTGTTGTTGTTGTTGTTGTTGTGGTTGTTGTTGTGGTTGTTATTGTTGTTGTTGTTGTTGTTGTGGTTGTTGTTGTGGTTGTTGTTGTTTCGAAAGAAGATAAATGAATTAATGTGAACAAAATAAATGGATGAGCCGAATCAAATGAACGGACGAAATGAATGAACAAATTAATTGAATGAACTATTGAAATGAATAAACATTAAATGAATGAACAAACGAATGAACCAATGATGTGATTGGAAAATATAAACAAATGGATAGATGAAATAATAAAGAAACAAAATGAATAAATGAAAATGAATGAAAGAATGAATGAATGAGTGAGTAAGAGAGTGAGTGAGTGAGTGAGTGAGTGAGTGAGTGAGTGAGTGAGTGAGTGAGTGAGTGAGTGAGTGAGTGAGTGAGTGAGTGAGTGAGTGTGAGTGAGTGAGTGAGTGATGTGAGTGAGTGAGTGAGTGAGTGAGTGATAAGAAGACAGTGAACGACAGAATGAAAAATGAGCGAACAATTGAAAGAACGAAATCAATATAGAATAAATAAACGAACATTCAACAAAGATGCCACATTCAGCTCAGTTAAAAAACAAACAATTAATTAACATGTAATTAATTATTAATTAACAAATCATTTAAAATTAGCACGGCTTTAAAAGTATCTTTTATATTTTAATCTTCAATCACGTTGTTGTCGTCGTCATCATCATCATCTTCTTCTTCTTCATCATCATCATCTTCTTCATCATCAGCATCATTATCATAGTAATCACAATCATCATAATCATAATTATCATCATCATCATCATCGTCGTCGTCATCATAGTAATCAAAATCATCATCATCTTCATTATAAATATCACAATCATCAACTTCATCGTCATCATCATCATCATCTTCATCGTGGTCATCGTCATCGTCATCATCAACGTCGTCGTCATCATCATCATCATCATCACCGTCATCATCATCATCACCATCATCATCATCATCGTCGTCGTCGTCGTCATCATCATCATCATCATCATCATAGTAATCACAATCATCATCAACTTCATTATAGATATCACAATCATCAACTTCATCGTCATCATCATCATCATTATCATAGTAACCACAATCATCATCTTCATCGTCATCATCATCATCATCATCATCATCATCGTCATCATCATCATCGTAGTAATCACAATCATCATCTTCATGGTCATCCGGCAATTTCATAAATATGGTGATCAGCTTGGTTGGGGAATGAATGGAGGATGTTGCGCTGTTGCTTCTCGGCGGACACTGCCAGCAGACAGGCGGAAGTCCCGATGTTCCCACCGTCTGATTCCACGGATTTTGATCGGTTGGTGACGACTGGTGGAACGTGGCGGTGAGGTAAGTGAGGGGAGTTGAATGTCGTGGTCGTCGGTGGTGGAGGTGGTAGGTTAGTGAATATTTTTCCACAGCCACCGCTGTTGATGTTGATGTTTTTGTTTTTTAAAATTGAAGTTGTTGTCGTAGCTGTTGTTGGATAGTTGTACGACAGTTTGTTGTCGGCCAGCAACAACGGAGCGACATCAATCGCTGATGTAGTGGCGGCTCCTGCTTCAAATATTTTATTGTTGCTGTTTCTGAGAAGATTGTCGTTGCCAACAACATTGCTGCCCAGTAGGGGTGGTTTGTTCAAGGTGCGAGCGAGGTGAGGAGTGCATGGTTGCATCAGAAGTTGTTGATTTGTGGCTGGAAACGACTGTTGCGGCAACATTTTGATGTTGTTGTTGATGTTGTTAACTGAATAATTTTGTTGCAGCAGCGTTTGTGCTTGATGAAATTCGTAAATTTTGTTGCTGTTATCAAGTTGTGCTTGTTGCTGGCATGGTGCGTACAAAGTCGTGTTGGCAGTTGAAGTCAGTGAGGCGGCCGTCGTGGCGCAACTGTTGCTCGCGAACTTCGATCGCCTGTTTGGTAGGTTTCATTATTTTTTTTAATGAAAAAAATAAAACTTATAGAATCAATTTATTCAGTTTATTCAAATAGAAATTATCGAAATCGACAGCAAAATTGAGGAGAACAAATTGATTGCAGTCACGTGACCTCCGGTAGAAGCAGACGGTGACGAGGAGGAGGGAGCAGCCGACCAGGATGCCGAGGGATACGCCCAGGATCAGGATGACTGCGATCCCTGGTGTTCAATCATCATCATCATCGTTCGTGTCGTCATCATCATGGCTACCATCGCCATCATCCTCATCATTGAATTAGTCATTTGTTCAGCAATCATGACCGAAAACAGGAGAATAATTTCACCATCATCATTATCAACATCCTCTTCATCATCATCATCATCATTCAAAGAACTATAACATCAGTATCTTCTTCACCATCCAATAACTCAATTATAGGTTCCTACACTAATTTAGTGATTAAAGATAACATCATCGTGGTCGTCGTCGTCATTACTATTACTAATATGTTGGTGTGATTAACGTTTAATGTGATGTATCATGTGATGATAAGTGAGTAATGCATGTGATGCAGGCAACATTGTGGTCATATGTACGTCGGACGCCTGCCTGCTCTGGCGAATTTTTGTTAATTTTTTATTTCTGGTTTAATTAATTTTCTTGTTTTTTTTTAAATTAAATAATTTTCTTGAATTTATTTTATTTTTTAGTATTAATTTTATTTATTCAGCTGGCTATCAGTGGTTTCTTTTTTGATCAACTCATTCATCTGATTTCTTCAACATATCTATTTTTCTATATCATCCGTACATTCGGATGCCTCACCAGGTTATTGCTAACATGATAATAGTGATGACGAGATGATGACGATGATGATGGTATTAACAATATTCACTAATTTAATCAGCAAACATCATTGAAATAGTGATATATTTCATTCCTTAAGTCGACCATTGAATGGAAGTTTTAACTGGGAGAAACTTTTTCAGTGTACTTCAAACGTTTTGTTGGTTTTTATTTATCAAGGATTAATTTCCATAAAAAATAATTAGCATTTATTTTAACTTTAAAAACACTTACTTACCTTAGTGTATGCCAAAAGTTTAAAAAATTGTTCGAACTAATCAAACATATCTGCGCATGAGTAAGGGCAAATTTTATGACTTTGCAAGTGTGTGTATATGTGTATGTATGTGTGTGTGTGTGTGTTGTGTGTGTGTGTGTGTGTGTGTGTGTGTGTGTGTGTGTGTGTGTGTGTGTGTGTGTGTGTGTGTGTGTGTGTGTGTGTGTGTGTGTGTGTGTGTGTGTGTGTGTGTGTGTGTGATGGAATCATTTGAAAACTGAAACCCGAAAACATAAAGTTCTTACTAAGATCTTGCTGGAAAAATGCATTGACTTGCCAATCTACTAAGCAATCTACGTTCACTCCCTCCATCAACTTATTCCAGTTGTAATTATATTCCAAATTTTCACATGAACAAATTTTTGCTAACATTTTGATACACCATCGGTTTAATACGCCTCAATTTATGAAAATATATTTCAGTTGGATGTGTTTGTTTAATAAAATGCTGACTGAATCCAAATGAATGAATTTAATTTTTGTTTGGACACTTTTTAAAAAATGTATCTGCCTATCGACAAAACAAACTCAATCATTTTAGCCTGCTTGTCTGCCTGAACAAATTAAGTTAGTTTGGCCATGTAGTATACAGAGGAGTAAAAAAATACCTGACAACAACCAAATACATATGCGAACAAAAACATTCAACGAACAATTAAGCAAACAATAGACTAGCAATAAACAACGAACAATAAAAACATTAGTACATAAACAAACAAACAGACGAAGATACAAACAAAGAAACAAACGTCTCACATAAACAAACCTTCCAATGTGTATAAATCAGCTGATGGTATCCATGGATTAAGATTTGCGTCCGCTGAAACACAATAAACATGTCAAATGCATTACTTTATAATTTTCTTTATGTTTATTAAACACAAACATTTATATACAGACTGTCAACAGTTTGTATTTACACATACATTACCACGAAGAACGCGTTAAACATTTTACACCGAAACCAACCAACCAACCGGCAGATGAACGAATAATACACATCGGCTACTACAACTTTGTATGCACACACAATGCCAAGTTGTAAATAAATTAATGACGTAAGATAAACAAATATTGAAGCAAAAACATTATATAAACGACAGACATACATTATCTAAATACAACATAAGCAAAGGCATACAATATTCATGTGTTGAAGTTGTATAGAGATCTCTCCGTATGCACGTGTGTGCGTGCGTGTGAATATATTTATATACATGTATTTGTTTGTTTAGATGTCTGTGTGTTTGTTTGTTTGTACATGTTTGTGCAGTATGTTTGCATGTTTATGTGCACTCGCATATCTATGAGCTTTCATTTGTACTTCAGGCTTTTACGTGAACAAAAAATTCTTCTTTTATTAGATGCAATGAGTTGACGTTTTGTAAAGCGATTATCCATGCGTTGTTAGGGTTACTGGCTTCAAAAGCAAGCAACGCAAGATGTCACACGAGGCGTTGTTTACATAAGTAAGCGTGCCTGTGTAAGCTCTGCATGCCGTAAACAATTGATGCTATTTACAAAGCATTACGTGAGAAACCGCCTGTTAGGGTGAAAGGCTGTCGAGTCTGCAGAAGGTCTCCAGCCGCTGATGACATCACCAGTTGATTCAGAACCTCCAATAGCGTGTCATCAGGAAAAATTAAAAAGAAACATTGAGATGAGAGCTACTCTAAAGAGAACAATTTTTGGAAAGTTGAAATCTGCGGTATAAAAATTCTGTACAATAATAACTAATGTAACAATAAAGTTATTCATTATTATAGCAAAAATGTCCACCCTTATCGCTCAAGTATGAGCCGGAGAACATTTTTCACAGAAATCCACAGAAGAAAGTAAAATTTAAATTTAAACAACAGAAATAATTAGGACAAACTAACCGAAAAGACACTTGAATTAGCAAACTGCGTATAAGCAAGTAGAACTAACAATAAAGAGAATGGAAAGATAAAAACAACCACACGTGAACAAGGAGTAACAAGCAAACAAACAGTCATAAAGAACAAGTGAGTTAGATACACACCAGCAACTTTTAAGTGACAGAGAAACGAAGCTACGCACGTAAACACAGAGTCAGGTGACAGATCAGACGAAACTTAAGAGGTGTGAAGACGCACACACGCACATACAAATACACATGCACATACATAAATACGCGCACACATACACACACGCACAAACACGACACACACATACAGAACAACAAGACAGTTTGTTAAATAATGCAATGTTGAATTTAAATTGAAGGCCCAAAGAACTATGATGAATGGCGGGAGATGGTACCCTAGCGAATAAATTTAAAATGATCATCATTCTTAATTTTATTTTCTGTGCAACGACATTGGAGAATAATTCGTGCCGGTCGGTTGTTGTTGCCTGTGTGCAAGCAGTGAAGGTGTTAGGATGATGATGATGATGGTGGTGATGATGATGATGATGACGATGACGATGATGATGATGACGATGATGATGATGATGATGATGATGATGATGATGATGATGATGACGACGATGATGATGACGATGATGATGATGATGATGATGATGATGATGATGATGATGATGATGATGATGACGACGATGATGATGACGATGATGATGATGATGATGATGATGATGATGATGATGAATCGTCAATATTGAAGATAAAGATGATGATGATGATGATGAATAGTCAATATTGAAGATGAGAATGATGATGAAATTAACAGTAAATAAATGTGGCTTGCAGACTGGGCGGGATATTTATAACATGCTCAATATTTTATTGGCTTATAAGCAAAGCAATTTCAAAAGACATATTATATTAACAACTATAACAAATGTCATCAACATATGTAATGAAAAACAACAACAACGGAACATTAATTTTCAACAACAATTACAACAACAGTAACAACAACAACATATTTCAATAACAACAACTAAATCATGACAAAATTTTCACCATGAAAACAACATCAGTAACAGAACAACATCAGTAACAAAACTATCACAAAATGACATTAGTTACAGCCTTTAGAAACTTTGATGACAACAAAATATTAGAAATAACATTAACAAACATCAAAATAAGCATACAACAATATGAACAACATGATGAAACAGGACAAACAACAAAAACAACTAAACACAACATAGCACAACAGCATCAACATCATCAACAACGGCATTGACAAAAAGCGGCATGACAATAAACACAAATTGAAACAACACAAATGTCAAAACAACAACATAAAACAACATCAGCAGCAACACTAACATAAGTAGCAGCAGCAACAATAGAAAAAAACAACAACAACAACAGAAAACAACAACAACATCATCTGTAGCAACGACAACTTATGACAACATCATCAGCATCAACAACAACAGCAACAGCATGAAACAACAGCAGCAGTTGCAGCAACAGCGACAACATAAAACAAAAAGAGAACATCAACAAACTGCCTGACCAGCTGAGCAAGATATTTTATCAGTCGGATTCCAATGCATGTTATCAACACAAAACAACAAATGTTGTGTTGGTTTCTTGTTGAAATCTTTGTGTTTGTTGTTGTTGTTGCAAATAATAACGACTTCTTTAGCTGATCGTCTGAGAATCGTTGCGTTGGCTATAATCGGAGTCTGGCAACCTGTGGCTGAATTATTGATGGTCAGTTGTAGTAGTTGTAGTGGTAGTAGTTGTAGTAGTTGTAGTAGTAGTAGTAGTAATAGTAGTAGTGGCAGTAGTTGTAGTAGTAGCTGTAGTTGTAGTAGTAGTAGTTGTTGTTGTTGTTTTAGAAGTAGTTACTACTACATGTTGTAGTAGTTGTAGTTGTAGTAGTTGTTGTAGTAGTAAAAGTAGTTGTTGTTGTAGAAGAAGTGATTGTTGTTGTTGTAATAGTTGTTGTAGTAGTAATTGTAGTAGTAGTAGCTGTTGTTGTTGTAGGAATACTAGTAATAGTAGTTGTAGAAGTAGTAGCAGTCGTTGTTGTAGTATGAGTAGAAATAGTTGTTGTAGTAGTAGTTGCTGTTGTTGTTGTTGTAGTAGTAATTGTTGTATTAGTAGTAGTAATTGTTGTAGTAATAGTAGTAGTAGTAGTCGTTGTTGTTATAGTAGTAGTAGTAGTCGTTGTTGTTATAGTAGTAGTAGTAGTAGTAGTAGTAGTAGTAGTAGTAGTAGTAGTATTAGTAATAGTAGTAGTAATAGTAGCAGTAGTAGTAGAAGGAGTAGTAAAAGTAAATTATGGCAGCTGAATCATAAACACAGTTATTAATGCAATTTATAGACTAAGAAAATAGCACCACCATCATCATCGTCGTCGTCATCATCTTAATTCCTCGTCTTGTTTTTCATCATCACCACCGTTCATATTGTAGATCGTTAATAGAAAAAAAATTTAAAATATTTAAGAACAACAAGAAAGATTATTTTGTTTCAATTGTGAACGGCGACCAAAGTTTAATCATATTGGTTTAATCGTATTGGTTTAACCATATTAATCATAAAGTTTAATCATAATCATATTTAATCATTCAATCATATCATGATTAATCATATTTAATCATAATCTTCTGGTTGTTGTTGTTATTTTTGTTGGTGTAGTTGTTGCTTCTAGTGTTGTTGTTGTTGTTGATGATGAAGATGATGAGGTCGATGGTGATGCGGTAGTTTTAACCTGCCATGTGGTCGATGTGATGAGATGAACATTAATCGTGTCCTACTGCTGAGGTGCCATTTCGAGATGAAGTTGTTAATGGAGGATGTATGAGTTGGATTCCATGATGCTTTTTAATTGCTTAGGTTTGTCTGTCTGTCTGTTTGTTTCTACGTTTGCTTTTTTGTGTTTTGTATTTCGCGCACTAACATTTAGATCAGCAACGTTTGCGTGGCAGTGCAATGACGAAAAGATGAAACTCAATGGCTCGCACTCAAGTTAATAAATATTCATATAAATTAACTAAATTATTTGTTTGTGTTAAGGACTTAATAATTTTTTTAAAACAAACATTTTTTAAACTTTAAAAAGATTTTAAAAATGTATGGGCCAGAATATGGAGGATCTTTTTCATATGTCACATGTTTGGACACGAATCTGTGATTCCACTACGTGAAATTATGAATAGAATATGTTACTTAGACAAATTAACCACCATTAAATGAAACACTCATACTTGTTTCTATGATCATTCATCATTTAAAAACTAAATGGCATGTCACGAAACTTTAAAAAATTTCAAACGTAGTTAATTAATTGATGAGACAAAACCCTTGGAAAGTGTTTTGGCCACCATATAAGAGTTGGAAGACGTCGCTTTATAAATGTGCGGACGTTTTAAATATTAATAACTTCTGTTTATTATCATTTATGTTATTCTGGATAACTAAG